CCAGGGGTAAGTTCAGCTTCAGGCACAGCTGGATTCAGAGCTCAAATGGTATCACTGGAACTCAAGTTTTTCCTTTTCTGGGTTTTGTCTTCTACCAAGTTGACTTCCATCTTCGGCTCCACATGGTGGCAAGATTGCTTCCTGCCCTTCAGGATCCCATCCTCAGTTTCAAGTCTAGCTGGCAAGAGCGAAAGATTCTCTTCTGGAAGCCCCAGTAAGCATTTCATTGTATCACTTGTTTTCTAATTAGGTCATACAGCCATCCCTGAACTAATCTCTGTGTCCAGGAGAGAAATGGTATGTACTGATTGCCTGAAGCCTAGATCACCTCGGGATCTAGGGATGTTTCATCCTTATACCAAGAGTTGGTGCCTCATCTAAAGTACAAGGGCTGAGTAGACAAAAGAGAGGGCAATAGGATATGGGCACCACAATGCTAGGCGGCAAATCCAACTGATGCCCACTGTGCCAGGACACTCCTTTATATAGAATTGAAGACACGAAAACATTCTTCAGAGGCTTGCTTGGTGTGTCCAAGTAAGGGAAGAGGAATATTAGAGGGCGGGGAGGATTATTTCTGCTAAGATCTAGGAATTGTCCTCACCCCGAAGGAGAAGACCTGTCTCTAGGGCAGAGCTGGGGACAGACTAACAACCCTCCTCTTTGAAGCCTAGTTTTCTGTGCTGGACCCCATCCCTTCTTCTTCTTCTTCTTCTTTTTTTAAAAATTATAATTATTTCTTTCTTTATTTTTGGCTGCGTTGGATATTTGTTGCTGCGCACTGGCTCTCTCTAGTTGCTTCAAGCGGGGGCTACTCTTCGTTGTGGTGCGCGGGATTCCCACCGCGGTGGCCTCTCCTGCTGCGGAGCATGGGCTCTAGGCGCGCAGGCCTCAGCAGTTGTGGCACATGGGCTTAGTTGCTCCGCGGCATGTGGGATACTCCCGGACCAGGGCTCGAACCCGTGTCCCCTGCATTGGCAGGCAGGCTCTCAACCACTGTGCCATCAGGGAAGCCCTGAACCCCATCCCTTTGCTGGCACGTTCTGTCTTTGTTCAGAGGGGTTAACGTCACCTATTCTGTGTCACAGCTATAGGTGAGTCACTCTACCCAGCCTCGCCCAGCCTACGCAGGTTGTCTTGACTTTGATTCATCCACATCAATTTATAAATAAAGTGCATCTCCACGGTCCCTTCTACTTTTCTTAGTGCCAACCTGCCTCAACTCTTTTGAGCAGCCTAATGAAATAGGGCAGGGCAGAGACTTCCACGCTTATGTTTATAGATGGTGTCATGAAAGAAAAAAGAGGGAAAACTATCTGCCCAGGTTCATGTCGCTAGATGGAGGCAAGCTCCAAGAGCCCGTGATGAACCCCTGGCTTAGTGCTTTTTACATACATGAAGCTTCCTATTGAGGTCTGTATGTGGGTAACAGACTAGTGTCTCTCCAACTTACCACTGAAATGTATCAGAAGACTACCCTTTATGGTGGAAATAAAGAGCCCTTTTTCTTAGCCACTCCCAGGCAATTCCCTGCTACTTTCTCCTATCCTTGGCCCCTGAGCCATCCTCACAGGCACTGCCCTTGTTATTAACAGACTGGAGGGACGATTCCTCTTGGCTCTGGGGTGAGGGGGAACCGGCAAGCAGTTTGTCCCTGAAAACTGACATGGGTCCTATCTGATGCAATTGGTGCTCAGATAAGACAAGATGAATGGCAAGCAACGTTTCAAATGACAGGTGTCATTTGTTAACGTGTGCTAGATCAATGGCTTCCAAAATTAAAATGCTCTGTATCTGTCACACGTCCCCACCAGGCCCTCTGGCAGGGCAGAAATGCCAGCTACAGACTGGTGTGAAGGTTGCAGCAGTGGAGACGGGGAGACTGCCAGGCTTAGGGGGATGGCATTTCCCACCAGAGCCACAAGTAAGTCTCCCCCCACCTCAGAGGCTCTAGGGACTCCCCAAATAAGTCAGACTGTGGAGAGCGGAAAGTTCAGACACTGACATTCTGTAGCTGGAGAGGGACGGGGCACATTCTTTGAGTTTCCCAGAAAATCCTGGGCACACACATAGACCAGAAACATCCAGGTTTCCCTCCTTCACGTGGAGGAAAGCAGCCCCATGATGGGGAAAGCCTTTTCCTGTTTTCTGGCATCCTTTGGGATCCACAGGCACAGCAGATGCCTGGATACCCTATCCCGTATCCCTCCAGCCCACATAAGTTCAGCTGTACTTGTGAAGATGCTTCTCCACGCCCCCTCCTCCAAGTGTCCAGTCTGCCTTCTCTGCCCGCTAGTTTCTCTGAGTGGCCAGGAGCAACCGTGAAGTGCAAGGAAGTTAATGCCCAGGGCTGGGGGATGGCGGTGGGTGGGTAAGTGCCCTGGCCTCCCCTGGCACAATTCTGAGGCAAGGGCCACGTGGGTTTCAGAAGGTCTCCGGGGACTGAGCCTGGCTGCCCACGATGGTGACTTGTTCATTAGCATCCACTTCAATGGCTCTTCGCCTTCCAGAGCTAACTTGCTTCACTTCCTCCTGTACTTCCTGGGACCACCTTCCAAAATAAATACCCATGTCTTTGTCTTCCAGGAATGCTCCTCACTGCGTTTACTCTGTGCCATCCTCTCTTCCTTTGAGCCTCCCATGGGACCACAGGGCTTTGTGAGCAGAGGACCAAAAAAGGTCCACACTTGGCTCTTGTTCCACCCTGACTGACCACAAATCCTAGAGCATTGCTGCCCCCCTCCTCCTGCCCTCACTCTCGCCTTGGCCCTGAGTTTATCAGTAGGCAGTCCAGCCATAAACTGGGAGGTTTTCTCTTGATCTTCCTGGACCTGGTAGAGCCCCAGCATGTGCACAGGCACGAGCAAGTGATGTGGTAGAAAGAACAAGGAGGGTGCTTGGCTTCCAGCTGTGGCATTAGCTCTGTGGCTTTGGGGAAGACACATAACCTCTCTGAACCTCAGTTTCCCATCTCTATAATTAGGAAAGTATCTCAACCCAGCTCATGAAGTTGTGACTACAATCAAAAGGGGACGTATATGTGAAACTGCTTGTGAACTATAACTTTCTCCAAGGCTGGTATTCAGCTATTACCCAGCAGAATAGCTGTTATTCACGGCTGTTGTTTATTCGGATTGGTTGGAGCCTGCGCTCTCCCTGTTATTAAATATTTCAAATATCACGTCTAATGCTACAGTTGCACGTGCATCTCATATCCCTTGCTTGGCAGCAGCTGGCCAAGCTCCCTGAATGGTAGAGTCACAGCTCATCTCTAAGGAGAGTGCTGGGGAGAGCCACGCCCCTCTGAGCCCTCCCCTAATCTGACTGAGCCAAGAAAGAATGCGGTGAACACAAGACATACAAGACATCCCCCAGACGGATCGATCCCATTTCAAAGGCGCAAACACAGAGCACGTTGTGCAAGTACGCCACCAGTCGGCTTTGAGGCCCAGCTCGTTGCCAAGGAGCCCAGTGTTTCATCCAGCTTAATTAAGCGTGTTTAAAAGGCTACACGCGCTCCTCCATCCATCCACAAAAAGGCCCTCCATGGAAATCAGTTAATTAATCAGGGGCTGCGTGAGTGGGTGCACTCTCACTGACGGAGAGAGGCTGACCTGGGCTCAGGTCTACGTGAATAATCTTTGGAGGCTGGGGAGGGCCACCTGGAACAGGGCAGTGGGTGCCCAGGGTTGGGCATCGGAGGGATATACTAACCCTACCAAGTGTGGCTGAATCCTCTGAATATTCCAAAATGAGGTAGGAAGGTGAGCAAAGGCCTTAATTAACACCTGTTTGCATATTCATTGTCAACCGTGAATTGTTTAAACTCACCCATCACAGAAAACTCATAGTGACTGTCAGGAAATGATAAGAATCCTTAGGCCTGAATTTTGTTTTGGAGTAGAGAAGACTGAAAATCTGCCCTGTGTGACACTGATAATCAAAGGTAGACTCACCCTAATTAAACCAAGCAATGTTTATACTTAAATACTCCCCCCCACCACCGTCCCACCCCCAGCCCCCTGGCAATTATCGGCTCAGCTCTGAATGGTAACTCCATTAACCATCCTTCCTGCCACCGTCCTTGCTGTGGCTTCGAGGTTGGCACCCTGGACCCTGGATTAACCCACTCGTCAAGGGGCAAGCTTCGACTCAGTGGTGCTTTGCTGTGCAAGGAAGGAAGGTGGAACCAAAAGCAGTGGCTTCAGGAGAAAATCGGAGGGGAGGGAGTTGACATTTACTGAGCACTTCCTGTCTGCAACCCCTTAGTGATGCCTATAAATTCTAGAAAGTTCTGCAGGCGCAGTCTATTTCAAGAATGGACACTTCATAGAGAATCTGTCTCAGGCGGACACTGAGTGTCCCTTCTCTCCCTCTTCTCTTTCCCACCGTCCCCTCGGTCTTTTGACCCTGCTGCTGGATCCCCAGGGTCCTGGCTTAGTTCTGCTTTACTTTCTATGTGGGGAGCAGGGGAAGAGGCAGCTATTCCTCTTAAGCCTAACTTTGCTATGTTACTGCATGACAATATTTCCACATTGCAGAGTTGTCGCCCCTTGTCTCCATAGTAACAAAGGCCTTACCGTAGTAGGTGAGGTGAGCAGGAGAGCGTAAGACAATCCTATATCATGGCTAGTACCCTAGGCCCCTCACCCACAGGCTCTCAGCTCTCTCATGACCACCACATTATGGTCCAACACCATCCACACCTGAGGAAACCGGAACTCGGAAATGTTGAGTGAACCCCTAACACAGGGAGTGAGTGTCAGAGCCAGGAACAAAGACTGGTCTCTCACAAAGCCCCTGCCCTTTCCCCTGAGCCGCTGCCCCTGTCCCAGCTTGGCCAGGGTCTGGAATCCATTATTCTGTGTCTCATGGGGCACAATGAACTCTGGTTGACTTCTGACATTCCCAGTGGAAGAAAGAATTCGGTCAACAAGTAGGGAGAGAGTGGTGCTGGGGAAGCTCAGACATGAGCGGTGCTTGGAGCTAAACAAGGTTACCTGAGGTCAGAAGCTGGAGCAGGGTGCCAGCAAGCATTCCGGCGTCCTGGGGACAAGGCCCAGCTTCTGGGGCAGCTGGACAGGGATGAGACTTGGCTGGAGTTCAGCAAGGGCTCTGCGGTTGGTTGAGTCACTTTGGTGGGCCCTAAATCCGATGGCCAGTGTCCTTAGAAGAGAAGAGAAGGGGAGATGAGACACACAGAGGGGAAGGTGGTGTGATGACAGAGCCAGAGGTTGACGCAACGTTGTCTACAAGCCATGGAATGCCAAGGACTGCCCGCAGCTTCCAGAAGCTAGGAGAGGCTCCCTCAGAGCCTCCAAAAGGAACCAACCCTGCCCACATCTTGATTTGGGACTTCTGGCCTCCAGAACTGTGAGAGAAATAAATTTCTATTATTTTAAGCCAGCCAGAAAGTGGTAATTTGTTACAAAAGCCCTAGCAAACTAACACAGGCTCGATTCCCAGTAAGACTTAGGGACAGACAAGGAAACGCCAGCAATTCAGAGGCAATGGGCCAAGGCTGGTCCTAGGTCATAATAAGGAGCCAGAATCTCTCCCCAGGAACTGCATACTGATGATAGAAGCTCAAAAAACCCCTCCCTTGACGTGACGTTGTGGCTGAGGCTTCGAATGCCCTCCTGGTCCCAGTCAGAGTGGATTCAGGGTCTTGATGGTGAAGAGGTCTGGGGCTGCCGCTGAGTAGGGCTGGGGGCAGACAGGAGCAGGCCCAGGCCTGAGGTCAAACAATCCCAAAGATTCCTGTAGTGGGGTGCGTAGTCTGACAAGTGCGTACAAGGGAGGGGGATGAACTCATCTGAGACCATCTTCATGGATTGGCTGTACATTTGAAAGGATGGCTGCAAAGTCCAGCTAGCTATCACCTCACTGTGTCCATACTGGGCTCAGCTTCTAGACACAGAGCTCCAGGGTTCCCTTCATTTTCCCCTGCCCACACTGCTCCCACTAAGCACCCACAGGCAGGGAGGGAGAGCCCGGCCCTGGCCCATAGGAGACCCCTGGCTCAGGGGCCTACGTCAGAGACAGAACTGAACCTAGATTCCATTTGGAAGCTGGATGTCAAATAGGTGACATGTGGGGTTTCCACCGAGGGCTCCTGCTTCCTGGTCTCTGCCCACACACGGCTCAGAAACTGCTGTCAGAATTACATCAACATGCAGGTGTGACTTTGACCCATCAGAACAGCTAATTCTTTTCCCTTCTAAATTATATTATCCAAAGCTGGTCAGAGTAGGGGAAAACGGACCCTCGCATAGTGCTAGAGGGAGTGTGGGATGATACCTCTTTTCTGTGGGGCAACTCGACAGAATGTATCAGAAGCCTTGTTCATATTTCTTGAGCTAGACTTTCACTTCTAACAACTGAGTCTAAAGATACGATTAAGGGTTTGCACAGGCCCTACCCTCTTAATTTAGTTAAAAGAATATTAAAGACTTTTTATTTCAGGGGAAGAATAAAGTAAAATAAAACAAAATAAGGTAAAACAAAATAAGATAAAACTATCTTCTAGAGGTATGGTAAATTCATCTCCAAAATAGGTGGTTATTTGATTTAGAAAATTCCTGGCCTTTTGGCTATGAAAGGAAAGTCCTTGGGCTAGCCTATATGTGAGAGAGAGAAAAAAAGAAACTAAATTGCCTAGCATAACACAAGTAATCGAAGCTCTATGGTGGTCCCTTGGCAACTCAAAAGAAAGGAGTTTTGGGGAACATGGGACAATTAAGAAAAGAGGAAACGGGAGAAGAATCTGGGGAGAGAGAGCAGGGCCAAGCAATCTGGTAGGAGGACCCTGAACGAAACAGAGAGAGAGAGTAAAAAGTCCTCGAGGAAAGAATAATGGTGACTAATATTCCTTTTTCCATGTTGAAATCCCATTTTACCCAAATCCTTTAATGCCGGTCATTATACAATAGACATTCTTGTATACTGGAAGGGGAGCCAGCTTCTGGCTGAAATGAAACGAACCAAAAAACCTAGAGCAGCTCACAGGAGTGAAGGAAGATGGGGAGAGGGAATGACAAATGGAGATGGGGCAAGAGTTCAGAACCAGAAGCAGCAGGAGAATGTGAGCGCTATACTCCGCCCTTCCCTCATTGACCGGGATCCTGGGAAACACTAGCCAGGAGGATGCCAGGAGGCAGACACAGCAAGCAGATCTAGAAGGAACCGTGCAAAGTGTTATCAGTGATTATCTCCAGGTGATGCAGTTACGTTTTTTGTCGTGAATTTCTTATTTGCTTATATGTATTTTCAATTTTTTAAAACAAGTAGATATTACTTGTGATATTTTTTACAAGTAAGGCTAAAAAAATAATAATAATAATTTGCCGACAGGACTGCATCAGCCCTTACACACTCAGTGGGAGCCAGCCAGCAAGCATGGCCCCAGACCATTTTTCTCTTTGGACAGACGGAAAACACAGCCATGGGAGCACGGCTCCTCTCTGAAACCAGCACAGGACATTCACTGGAGGTACTTGTTAGGCCAGCTCCATGGCAAAGCCTCTTTCACTTCAGGCTCTGCCAACAAGGCTTCCAGGACCCCCAGGGACTCTCATCCGAGAAGACAGCCAAAGCAGAGTCATCATGCAAACAGTTTCTCGTTCCTCTCACATTTTCTAGACTGAGTGTTCAAATGTCTTCAAGAAGATTCACGTGTAGAAGGTGGGCCCTTCCAGAAAAGGCAATGTCATGCCTCCCAGCTACGCACTGGGCCCCCGCTTTTATCCTTTCAGAAAATTCAGAGGTTTCCAAGTTCTAGCCGTGGCCGCGCTCATCCATGCCGGAAGCCCCATTCTGTTCTCTGCGCTCTCTCTGGCCTCGTGAATCTTGGCAGCTGGCTGCTCTCCTATGGTGATGACTCCCGTATTAATTTAAGTCTTTCCAAGACATACTTGCTAATTAAAATGTAAAAGAGTTTTTTTATCCCTTTAATTAAGATACAAGGTGGGATGCATAATTTAATTTGGTCCATTGAAAATATCACTATTATTAGCTCCATGACTGGCTTCCATTAAAGACGGCCATGTGCAACAATTTTCTTTTTACTCCCACATTTGCTGGAGTTTTGGCATGTGCACTGAACGGCTCCTAAAACTATTTCAGGCGACTACGGCGACTGTGACCCCACTGGAAAGGAGCCACATGGGTGCCAGAGCCACCGAGGACATCAGCTTTAGGAACCTGTCTTGGGATGGATTCCCCCAGAAGCAGACCCTAAGAAAGATTTGAATAAGAGCAATTTGTACGGGAAGTACTTTTAGGGGAGTGAGGAGTGAGACAGGGACAGGACGAGATTCAACTCAGGTGAGCGAATGAGTGGGTCGCTGCTGCAGGGAACGGAGGGAAACCTCACCAGGGACACCTGGTTGTATAGAATACACATCAGGGCTCTCCCACCCAAGGGACGAGGAAGCTGGCTGTCTATCCTCCCATTCCCATCCATCACTGGCTGAGGGCTGCTCCCGGAGGTGTCAGCTCCCCTGTCCTTCCAGCCTCGCTCTCGGGCAGAGAGTTGCCGATGCTGCAGAAGGAAGCATGAGTGTGGAGTAGTGAGTGGTGAGCGGAGATGGGCAGGGTATCAGCAGCATCTGTTACACACCCGCAGCCCTGTGTTTGCAACTGCGCCAGGCTGGGCAGAAAGAGGTGAGAAGGCGCGCAGGGCGAGTGTCAATCACATATTATTGAGTCCTTTCCACGGCCAGAGAGACAAAATCATGAACTGGCAGCCCGAGTCCTCACTTGGAAGTATCTAGAAAAGCCTAAAAGCAGAAGGGGAAGTGTCAAGCTCTCTGACACAAAGTCAGAGACAAACAAAAATACGCACAGAAACAGATGTGGGGAAATAGGAAAAGCACAGCCGAGGGCCTGGAGATGGAAATGAGGGTACAGTTCCAAGGTCATTTCAGCTAGTTCAGCCCCAAAGGAACTTCCTCAGTCAGCACTGGAGCCCTGACTAGTGGCCGTCCCATGGGGAGCTGGGTGTGAAGTACCAGCTTCCTCCAGTTGAGAATAGAGAGGACAGTTGTCAATTTCACCCTGTACTAAGTGGGAGAACTGGTGGCTGGAAAATGGGAAGGGAACATATTATCCAAGACAGAGTTTGAGAAGCACCAGGGAGAAATGATTCTGGATAGCGAGTCAGCTAAAGGGGAGATTCTAAAGGTGAGACTCTGGATCCTGGGCTGTGTTGAAAACTACGGACGATGGGAACCCAAGAAGCGGGCTTCAGGAAGGAGGAGGGGGCATTAGCAACCTCTGTGAATGAGCTGTAAGCAAGTCAGCCAGGTAAGGATGAGCTGGATTGGAGCCCAGAGTGGAGGATGTGGGACGAGATGTACAGTGGTGGACATCCTCCGTCAGAGGAGCAGTGCGGGACAGAAAGGGTCTAGCATCAGGAGACAGACCTGCCAGGGTTCAAGTCCTGGCTCTACCACTCACTAGCTGAGTGACCTTGGGCAAGTGGCTTAGCCTCTCTGAATCCCTGCATAGAATTCTGTGAGGGCTAAATAAGGTAAAGTAGAGAAAATTCACAGCATAGCGTCTGCCTCATGGTAGGAGCCCCTAAAAGTTACTTCCTGTCCCTCCTTTATCTTAGACTGTAGCCTGTATGACACTCTGGGGACCCACACCTTCAGGGAGTCCGACTGTGGCAGCTTCTGACTATGTGTGAGCATGTGCGGAGGGGAGGGGTGGGGCAGAAGGGTGTGTCTGGGCTTGAAGTAGCACCTCCTGCTCTACCCCAGTTTCTCTGAATGTACATGACCTTAAAAACAACAACAGGGCTTCCCCTGTTGGCGCAGTGGTTGAGAGTCTGCCTGCCGATGCAGGGGTCACGGGTTCGTGCCCCAGTCCAGGAAGATCCCACATGCCGCGAAGCAGCTGGGCCCGTGAGCCATGGCCGCTGAGCCTGCGCATCCGGAGCCTGTGCTCCGCAACGGGAGAGGCCACAGCAGTGAGAGGCCCCTGTACCGCAAAAACAAACAAAAAAACCCCAACAAACCGGCTGTGTTTAGAAACTCCCTTGCTTCTGGCACTTCCCAGACAAGTAAGGACACTGAGGCAGAAGGAACTAAAGGCCGTGCCTCCAGTCACGCAGATGGTGGCTGTCAGGCCAGGCCGTGGAGTGCTCCCAACCACCCTCTCTC